CTCTGTGAAAGCGGGATCGTACAAGTGCCCTGTTTTGTATCCTGAATCTATGGACTCGGGATCAGAAGGCTCCCAGACCCCTCAGTCCACGGTGATGCCACAGGAGGGGCACTGAGGGATCGGGCTGGGTCTTGTCCCGCGGCTGCTCTGCCTGTGGTCAAGCTGACTGGCCGCTGGCAGCGCCCCCCGGTGGGCGGGCCATCCCTCCGTGACCCGAGTGCTGCGGGCGCGCCGGTTAGCCCTGCTGTCGTGGCGCCGAGCCCACATCGCGCGTGCAGGCAGCGGCTGTCTCCTCCGGAAAGAGAGGCGCGCAGGAGAGGCAGCCTGCTTCCAAGAGGCCAGAGAAAAACAAACAAAACAGCCCCTTATCGCTCGTCTCCCCCGCGGCTCCTGTCCGGGGAGTGTCCCGGGAGCTGTGCCGGGGGCGCGCGCGATGCCCGGATCTCTCCGCGGGCGGTGGCGGCGGATGTCGGGGAGCAGGGAGCTGATAAGCCCCAGGAGCAGGGGCCTGTTGTCTCCGCGGGGGCGATCAGCGCGGCGGCTCTGCAGCAGGAAGGGGTGTTTCCTCTCCCTGCCGCGGATACTGGAGACGTTGACAGTCGCACAGGCAGACGGTTTGTTTTCTCCGCAGTGGATGAAGTTTCGTGGTTCTGGGAAGAGAGGGGGGCGGGCGTGTTGGGACAGGTGCGCGATCTGTGACAGCATTCCCTCTCGGTTTTCCGAGCTGACGGTGCCCAGCGGGCACGGCTGCCGCCCCAGCCAGGTGGGGCAAAAGGGGGAAGAGGAAGAGGGGGGAGGGGGGAGGAAGGTGAAGGACACAGCCAGGGTCTCTCGCTGAGCCTCATGACCGGCAGAAGGAACCGCAGGGAGACTCTGTCCCCCATATCAACATTCATACCAGAAGGCAGACGCCCCCTCCGATCTCCGCCCGTCTGCCACGCTGTCACACTCTTGAGTGTCATCAGTATCACTCCAGCGGCGCACGCCTCGCTCTCGCCCTGCCCTGTGTACCGAGCCAGCTTCCTGGGCCTGGGAGGGAAGAGAGGGAGGGGGGCTGGGAAGTGCTGTGCCCTGTGATTCGGGCTTGTGGGTTTCTGAGTGTGCAGGCGTGTGTTCTGCTCGTGAGATACATACCCAGTGCTCCAGTCGTTAATGAAATCCCACTTGTGATTTGGTATAATCCAGAGGCACTCTGCCAGCCCACAGAGTTGATTGATTCTTGAGTGATGGGTGCGCTGGGAGTCCCAGTATAAGAAATCATGTTGGGGTTGTTGGCACCAGCAGACTCCAGCATTGCCCCAGGTACAGGGTACAGGAGGAGGTGATACCCTGTTCTCCGAGGCTGCAGGAATATTCCCAGAGGATGATCCTGGAGTGGCTGTGGTATATCGGAATCTGAATGAAGTCCTGAAGCAGATTGTTCTGTACGTTCACCTTGGGATTTGTGTTCCCAGTACAACCCGGACAGGAAGTTCTGGCCTGTCCGCTCTGGGAATTTTGGGTGCGGGGGGTGGAGGGGGACCTGGCAGCCGTCTCGTCTCCGTGTATGGCCTTGACCTCTGACCTCCAGGATGTGTGTGTGTTGGTGGCGCGTGAGTGAGGAGCAGACGGAGTGTATTATTTCCTGAGCTTCCTGCTCTCTTCCTCTGCTGCTGTGCAGATTGGGTTCGCCAGCGCCCGCCCCAGCTCGGGGAACGTGCCGCGGTCACGGTCTGCGGATGATCGCTTCCAGTCCTTCTTGAACGTGTGGAAATGAGGCTTTCGAAACCTCCTGGGACTCCTTCAAAACCAGTCTAGCTGGGGTTCAGTCTCCCACTTACACATCAAACAGACGAGATCAAACAGATTGCCGAATATCCTGCATTTGTAAGACACTGCATAAGACCCAGGCTTAGCGACTTGGTGTTTAGATATTGCTCTCCTCTTATCTTGAAGGTAGCAGGATTTTATTAATCTTGCAACTGACGGGGGGCACATCATGCCTGATAGTTCTGAAAGCTTGTGTGGGAAAGGGATCTTGTGTTATAGGCTGGATAAGTCAGCCGTGGTCTTTTCAGCTCCTTGAAGGGGCAGCCAAGCTCTGACTTGCCTGTGCTGTGAGAAGGGTTCAGTTCCGAAATCAAGTTCTTGCTTGCCGACGTGCTGAAGTTCTGGCTCAGGTGGAAAAATGCTTTTTTTGGTTCGTAAAATAGTACAAATGCCCCGTATCATTGACAATCGTATTGGGATACCTCATCATGCCCGACTGGTGGACCATTTTATATCAATTACACTGCACATAACGTATTTTTACTGCTTGTTTCGTATGTATTGTGTCAAAGTGATTTCCAAGACTTTCAAAATCTGGGACACAAGTTTGGTGCTAGTGTGGGTAAGATGAGCACATGAGCACTGAGAAAGTACAAGAGCTGTAGAGGTGAAGTTATTTAGGTTATCTGTGCCTTTCTGGGGCTGCCTGTGATGTGAGCTGCTGTCTCTGGTCTCCGGACACTCAGACGCACAGGCAGTGTGGAAGAACCGCTGCTACACTG